TGCAAGCAAAGATTCTAGATGTGCAATAAAAGACAGCAGAAAAGAGAGCAAAATTAATGAGTATGCAATGAAAATTGTGGTAACTGCATAATAGGACAAGTGTTTATTTTTGCAATCCAAAATATTTTATTATCATTGACATAAGTTTTTTAAATAAACATGTTTTTTATTTGAAATCTTTAATTCTTTAATTACAACATACTTAATTTTACTTTAAAACTAAATATTTTTGATTGAATAATAAAAAAAACAAATCTAGCTCCATAGAAATGCGGCTAATGACTTGTGATGGCTTTGGAGAGTTTAGATGTTGAAAAATACAGTTCTATGAATCACTAGTGGCTGCTTACCTTTGTCTCTTCTTTAGCACAAGCTGTCACCTCATCCACTGCAAATTCTGTCACAGAAGACAGGAATGTTATTCAGGTTGACAATGAACAATGCCAATATGGCTGTTCATACTAAAGTAAAACATTCCTTTCAGTAAAACTTCAATACATTTTTGGTTTGTTTCCTTGTACTAGTTACAGTTCTAAAACCCTTAAAATAAATATCACTATAGGATAACAAATCCAGAAGACTTAGCAAAAGCCTTATCAACAACACACAGAACACTTAAAAAATAATGTCTATGTTTAGTTAACCATTAAAATAATGCACAATTATGCTGGATATTTCTTTTATTTAAAGGTTGTGCTCTAACAAAGTTAAACTCAGGTTAGTCTGGCTCAAAAAGTGGAGTATGATTCTTATATGTAAGGATTATTTTGAGTACTAGCTAACAGGACAATTCATGATCTTAACGTTACCTGTGCATCCAGAGTATTTGTCACTTTTATCGTCCTGCAAGCACAAGTGTGATAATCAGTCAAACATCATGCTCTAACATTACCTTATACTGTCATTACAACTGCAATACTGTAGTATAATTTGACAATAATTAAATATTCAACACTGTGAAATAAGACTAGACATATTCATGACATTTGACTGAAAATTAGCATTTTTTTAATCTAGAAAACTCCCTTATAAAACTAGAAATATTGTACTGAATTAATTTAAATTGTCTCTTGCATTACTGAAGAACAACATTCCTATTTTTGTGGACAAAAGTAAATAGATTTTGCCTGGCCAGAGGCCTGCTGCACGTGCAGGCCGCTAACGTTAACAATAACAAAAATGACCAAAACATCTTGGTAAAAATATGCAGTCTGGCAAGAACATGAATTCAAACAATATTTCAAAAGTAAACGAAGATTATACGTAAATGTACGCAAATACAGTAAACGTTTAATGTACAGTTAAATTGCAAAATCTCTTAGCAATTCCAACGTTTGGCTTAAAACGCGATCGTAAGAATCTAACTTTAACGTTACAGTTAAAGTTACCCTAACTAATATTATTGTCAGTTTGATACATTAATCTGTACTTTCTGCAAAGCAGCTTCGAGATTATGCCGATTATCAAAAGCGCTTGAGACATAAAATAACGCGATTTTTATGATATAATATAGTTGCAAACAATACATAAACATAAACATTCGAATATATTGAAGTGATCGTACAAATCATAAACTTACCTGTCCTTCAGACATGTTGACGTCTTCGCGCCTTTACTCACAGCATCCTCTCTGACCCCGTCCTGCTGTGTCGCAGGTGTGTGTGTGTGGGGGGGAGGGGATGGTCGCGGTGGGGACGCAAAATCTCCGGTCACGTGTAATGTCACTTTCCCGCGCTGCTTTAGCGCGGGTCGCCGACTGAACCGCAGTCTGGCGCATGCATACACAGCGGATGGCCTTCAGCAGCAATGCAGCACTGACAGCTCTAATGTGTCAGTCGAACTTTTACTCGAAATTATTCAGCTTATTACCCGAACATATTTGCTCTAACTAAATAAATGCATAATGGTTAAAGGGAATTTTAATAGCTTAACGAAAAAAAGTTAGGCTATAATTAAGATACAAAGAACCCCCTTATTATTAAATGCTTTATTCTGACAACATAAATAAATGGATCCCATTTAGAACTTTTAAAGAATTCACAAAAAAAAATTCATTAACTATTACAAACACTTGTAATAAATAAAGGCATTCAATCCTGCTGTCAGGGTGTAAATAATACAACATGTGTTTTATTATGTTTCCATTCATTCATTCATGTTTATTCCCTGATTGGGGTCGCCATAGCGGAATAAACTGCCATTATGTGTCCATTATGTTTTATTATAATACCAACATTTGGTAATTTAACATTTTGGACCACATAAATGTATTAGATGTGATGTATTGACCATGCACACCTACATACATCCATTACTTTATTATTAAAAGGGAATAAACTACTGTTTATTGCAACTTATCTGAACATCATTATCAAAACTCTTTAATATGTCCAGTCAATTTAATATGAGCATGTAATACCATCTAACTACATCTTTATGGTATTCTTTAAGGCAAACAGGCCTAAATAAATGCAAGGCCCTTAAAATGGTTTGTTCATCTTCAACTACTGATACCAGCACATCACAGGCCTATCTAATAGAAAGTGTGGCAAAATGAAATGGTTTGTGGAAATATTCCTGAGCAGGTATAATAGCTTACGTGATGGTAGCTCCAGAGAGCCTCACAGCACCTACACTGCTCTTAAAGAGAGTCTAGCAGCAGAGCGAGTGAAGCAAGAGTGTGGAGGGGTTGTTGCTGGATCAGATACGTTTGTGGCTGGAAGTTAACGAATATGATTTATATTATCTATTAAATTACACAATAAATAGTATTTCATTAATGTCTACAACCACCCTAACCGTCACAGTACTGTAATAATATAAATTATTGTTATACAGTGTCATAAAAAATGCTTCTGTATTGATGTGTATTTGCAGTTCCGGCCAGCCTTGTATCCTATCTACACTTTACTGTGTGGAGGGAGAGAGCTGACATCTAAAGATGGCCTCATACTGTAGGTCCATGAACCTGATTCTTCCTGCTAGTTTCAAATGATTTCAACACAACACCAGAAGTAACTGAAGTTGTTTACTGTTATTAATGTGTTATTTAAATGCACAGTTTACTTAGATACTTAGAAGTGATTGAAATGAAAGGTGTAAAACAGAACAGAAAGTGATTCAGAGCTGTTGTTCTCCTTGATGTCCTGAGAAACAGTCTGTATTAATTTTGAAGCTCATTAACGGCATCCTTAAAATAAAAGCAAACTATCTCTCTTTTCACACTTAGTTGTAATGTTCTAGACAAGATCTGAAACCATGTCAGCACTTCTGTTGCTACTGCCTTCTCTTAAGCTAGATCCACCTTTAGGATGACATAAAAGTGTCTTCCATAATTTAATACTCCCATAATTCTTGAAAGAATATACAGAAATCCTTAACTTAGAAATAAAATGTTTCATGTATGTAAATCTACTGTACATGTAAATTCCCATAGACTATTGTGATAAAGAGACATTGTTCATTATTTCCAGGATTTATGTAACCCTTGTGAGGGTAAAAAACCATAACGATTTGGTCCCTGTAGACATTTAACATTTGGATTCACAGAAGTCAATGTGCTGCTATGTTTATGGCAGAAGCCCATCATGTCCAGGCACCTGATGTAAGAAGTACTGGCCCTCTTGAAGCAGATGCTATATCCATTGACAGCTCTGCTAAAAGGACTAAGCTAAAACTTGTGTACTGTGATGACCGGTCCTGCACTTTGGCCTTTTTGCTGCTCCTTGTGTAACGCAGACACTACAGCATGCTTGAATCAGCCATTGCCCCTATACTTGCTCATTCCCTATAGCAGCCCTGTCTTGATGCTGGAACAGGTTTTTAAACTTTATTCAGATCTATTTTTTTCACATTGTTCACATGCTTAAACTTCACAAAGACAGATGTAGCCTACTGTAGCCGACCAATTCAACCTAACAGTAGGTCAAAACTTAATTTTTTGACCCATGTTTATTAGTAACATGGTTCAGCCGGGTTAGGTATATTCTGTTTATGTTCTGTGTTCTCGCATCATTCATTCTTCCAAGCTAACCTGGCTATAGGTCTCCATAAGGACACAAGTCTGTTCTCTGTGTTCTCATTTACAATCAATAGTGATTTTCTCATTAAAGTCTGAAGGAAGAAATAAACCCTGTGTTTATTTTAATAAAATGTAGGCTAATCTAGGCAAAGCCAAACTTTAGTTTTTTAAATATAGATGCATACAGTAATACCATTGCATATGAACTGAGTATTACAATAAACCACACTAAAATATTTTAACCTTAACTGGTAATGTATTAATACAAGAGTGAAATACTGGCTATGCTCCTTTTGATTTATTTATCAATAATGGATATTTATATCCTGAACACATAATGGATATTTGGAATCTGTTGTTAGATCTACAATAAATTGCATAAAGAGCATAATTTTTTAACATATCTAATATATTCTAATCAGTTGATGCCTTGTAATGTAATGTATTAAATAGTTTTTATGCTGGTCAATCAACAGTTAATGTAATAATTGAAGACAAGTAAGGGGGCGCTATAGAGTGGAGACAAAGTGACACACTTTTCCAGAACAATGACGTGGTGGGGACTGCAATATTCTGTGTGACCCCCAGGGGCGCATAGATACACAGTCACACAGAATATTCTCTTGAAAATGATCCCCAAGAGGACATTAGAGAAAATGCATGGGGTGTGTCCTAACACTATTTGGGAGGGGCTAGTGAGGCTTTGCCCGTGGGGACCTCAATTTAGGTCCCCACGGTGACATGAGTCCCCATGAGGCTGTGTGCAGTCAGGTTTAAGTCCCCACCGGGATATAAAAACAAGAACACACACACACACACACACACACACACACACACACACACATTTCAGTGTATTTGGGGCTGAACAGCCTCCCATAGATGCAATCTGTGTGTTCCCCCTGTGAACATTGAAGCAGTGCTGTATTGTTTAACTGTGTGTGTGTGTGTGTGTGTGTGTGTGTGTGTGTGTGTGTGTTCAGGTAACGTGGAGCGCAGTGGTCGCGTTGTGGTTCAGGTGTGCTGCAGTAAGCAGGTGTGGAGCAGCGACTGCACAGATCAGATCATCAGTGTTTTACTCTGCTATTACTGCAGCAGTCTGCGGTGAGGAACGCCTCTACACCTCCACATCTGATCTGGAAACTCCTCACTCTCCATCCGCTTTGATTTCACTCTGCTGTTTGTCTCTTTCAGGAAGGAGAAGCGAGAGCTGGGGCTGACAGTTCTGGTAGACGCTCGCAGACAGCAGACGGTTCCCTCCACACTGATCTCGGCTCTGTCTCAGTTTCAGGTGATCAAACCACACATTTTTACTCTGCAGACAGAGAACTGATTCACACCTGTCCAGTTGGAGGAAAGTTTATGTGCGTGCGTGCCTGTGTGCGTGCGTGTGCATTTTCAGCTATCCATCTTTCATATTTATTTATTTATAATATTTTTCTATTTAATAATTATTTATTAGACGTTTGTATTTATTGACTTATTTATTTATTTATTTATTTATTTGACATATTTATTTATTTATTTATTTGACACATTTATTTATTTTGTAATTTATTTGAAATATTTATTTCTTTACTTGAAATATTTATTTATTTATTTATTTATTTGACAAAAATTTTATTTACTTATTTATTTATTTGACAAATTTATTTATATATTTATTTATTTGACAAATTTATTTATTTATTTATTTATTTGTTTGTTTGTTTGACATATTTATTTATTTATTTATTTGACAAATTTATTTATATATTTATTTATTTGACAAATTTATTTATTTATTTATTTATTTGTTTGTTTGTTTGACATATTTATTTATTTATTTATTTGACAAATTTATTTATATATTTATTTATTTGACAAATTTATTTATTTATTTATTTGTTTGTTTGTTTGACATATTTATTTATTTATTTATTTGACATATTTATTTATTTATTTATTTATTTATTTATTTATTTATTTATTTATTTGACATATTTATTTATTTATTAGACACATGTATATATTTATTTATTTATTTGACATATTTGTTAATTTATTTGACACATTTATTTATTTAATTATTTGTTTGTTTATTTATTTGACTTATTTATTTATTTATTTATTATACACATGTATATATTTATTTATTTAAATGACATTTTACTTTGTTTATTTAATTATTGACTTTTTAATTAATTAATTAATTTATTTATTTGACATTTTTTGTTTAATTTGTTTTATTACATAATTTGTTTTATTACATATTTATTTGTTTTTGTTTTTTCAATAATTGTATGTATTTGTTTATTTATTTATTTATTTGACATTTTTCTTTATTTAACATTTTATTTATTTGTTTGTTTATTTATTTATTTGACATTTTTCTTTATTTAACATTTTCTTTATTTGTTTGTTTATTGACTTTTTATTTATTTATTTGGCACATTTATTTATTTATTTATTTATTTATTTATTTATTTGACATTTTAATTTGTTGGGTGTTTTTACTGTTTACTTTTTTGACTCTTTATTTATTCATAATTTTGATTTTTTTACCTTATTACCATTATTTTATTTAAAATCGTCATTTATTTATTTAATTTTCTTTCATTTTTTTGTTTATTAAACAGTTTTATTTTATTTTTTTTATTCATTTGACAGTTTTATTACTTGCAGTGGCGCAGTGGGTAGCGCTGTACCCGCACTGCAAGAAGGTCACTGGTTCGAGCCTCGGCTGGGTCAGTTGGTATTTCTGTGTGGAGTTTGCATGTTCTCCCTGTGTTGTTGTGGGTTTCTTCCGGGTGCTCCGGTTTCCCCAAGCACATGCACTACAGCCGCAACCCATCTCTGGGAAACATCCACACACACATTCTGGACAATTTAGCCTACCCAATTCACCTGTACCGCATGTCTTTGGACTGTGGGGGAAACCGGAGCAACCGGAGGAAACCCACGCGAAGGCAGGGAGAACATGCAAACTCCACACAGAAACGCCAACTGACCTGAGGTTCGAACCAGAGACCCAGCGACCTTCTTGCTGTGAGGCGACAGCACTACCTACTGCGCCACTGCCTCGCCCTACTTTCTTTTATTGATTGTTTGATTTATTTATTCGATTAATCACATTCATTTCTTTTTATTGCATTTATTTATTGCTTTTTAAGTCATGCCTTGTGAATTCTTCTGTCCCTCCAGGCTTCTGTACCCAATGCACTTTACTCAGTTTTGTTTCTGGTGGAAAAAGAAGCAGCAGTGAAAGTTGAGCGTGACGTCACATTTCCGGTGAGTGAACGACAGTACTGTATGTGTTTCTGTTGTTTCATCAGCCGGACTACAGTGTGTTTTTATTGACCTCTCTCTCTCTCTCTCTCTCTCTCTCGCTCTCCCTCTCTCTCTCTCTCTGTGTCCAGTATGAAGTCCTGACATCTCTAAAAGCTCTGCAGAAACACATCGACTCCACGCAGCTCACCACAGACCTGGAGGGCACGTTTCCATATGACCACAGCCACTATATTCACTTCAGACAGGTGCATATTTACATCAACACCTGTGTTTATCTTCTTACACTCACACCAGGGGTCCAGGGGTCTGTTCTTTGTACATGGATTACTCAATTAGCTGGATTTAGATATTGATGATTTGGCATGTTCCAGGATCCATTTGTTCTTCAAAACTCATCTGAGACTTGTTGTCATAACAACAGTTCTGGTAGCCAGGGCTGGTGCGTATATAGAGGCGACCTAGGCGGCTGCCTAGGGTGGCAGAATAGAGAGGCCGGCGTCCCCGAAACTACCCTCACCACCCGCGCCCGCAGTTATATCTGCGTCTAGGATGGCACAATAGAGAGGGCAGAGTCTGCGACAGCTTCCTCACCCCCCCCCCACCCCACCCCACCCCACTGCTTTTACTTTAGTGTTGAGACCGTCCTTTGCCTAGAGCAGTGGTTCTTAAAGTGGGGGACGGGACCCCCCGAGGGGTCGTGGGGCAATGAAGGGGGGTCGCCTGGTGATTTCCAAAAATCTATTTATTTTTATTAAACCATAAGAATTAACATATTTTATCCATAACTATACTGAAAATAAAAATTTTAGTTTATAGTTACTTTATACTATATAGTTAATATAGGAGCTTCTAGTTACTAGTTCTATTGGATTGCGCCCCTGGGGTAATTACATTATATTAAAGGCAGCAATAGCGTCAGATGCATTTTGATTTTATAACATCAGGTTATACTTTCTGGCACATTTAAAGCACTGACACAAATTTAATTGGTGTGTGTGCGTCATTGCATGCAAGGTTTCTGTATTTATAACCACCTCAGAGGATATTGGGGGTCGCGAGTCACTGGCATTGTTATTTTGGGGGTCGCGGGCTGAAAAGTTTGGGAACCGCTGGCCTAGAGCGGCAGTTCAGCTTGCTCCGGCCCTGCTGGTAGCTCAAACCTGCGTAGGTGCAGGTTCATTTCATATAAACAGGATTAGATCGGTTCAGTTCAAGCAAAGATAATACTGAAAGTAAGTACCGAACGCTGATAATTTCTTACAGTAGTTATATACACTTGGGAAAATAGTAAATACATATATATATATTTTTTTTTTTCTTAGCTATATATATATTTAAAGTAAAATTAAATTATATTTAATTATATTTAAAGTAAAAAATATATATATTAACAAAACGTATGCAATCTGCACTCCGAAATAAAAGTATCACCTGGTAATTCAAAGAAAAAAATTATTGATATGAACTTTTTAGATGCAAAAATAAAATCCCGGAAACGGGTTTAAAACTTACTTATAGCACCGATATTGAAAATAAATCTATCATGATATACAGTTGAAGAATTATTTGCCCCCTTTGAATTTTTTTTTCTTTTTTAAATATTTCCTAAATGATGTTTAACACAGCAAGGAAATTTTCACAGTATGTCTGATAATATTTTTTCTTCTGAGGAAAGTCTTATTTGATTTATTTTGGCTAGAATAAAAGCAGTTTTAAGATTTTTAAACACTATTTTAAGGTCAATATAATTAGCCCCTTTAAACTATATTTTCTCGATAGTCTACAGAACAAACCATCATTATACAACACCTTGCCTAATTACCCTAACCTGCCTAGTTAACTTAATTAGAACATCTATAGTCTAATATGATTTACTGTCATCATGGCAAAGATAAAATAAATCAGTTATTAGAGATGAGTTAATAAAACTATTATGTTTACAAATGTGTTGAGAAAAATCAGAAATTGAGGAAAAAATTAAACAGGGGGGCTAATAATTCTGACTTCAACTGTATATTGACATTGAATTATTGTCCAGCCCTAATTTTATGCCCTAATTTTATGTGTGTGTCTTTAAATGCAAATAAGCTGTTGCTCTTTCTCTGGTGCAAAGATCAAATAAAATTGTTATAAGAAATTACTTATTAAAACTGTTATGTTTAGAAATGTGTAAATATATAAAATAATTCAAGTTGAATGGAAGTGAAACAAACAAATCTTTTTGTTTTTGTTTTTTTTTTTGGCAGAAAATTGAGCCGTTTGCATCAAGCTGCAGCGCTGCGATCTCTTTTCTTCAGAGCTCCATCGAGACACTAAACAACATCAGCAATCTGGAGACAGCTCAGGTAAAACTGTGCATCTTGTGGAACAACATATTAAAAATATTTATGATTTCATGATCATTTACTGTGGAAAACACTGAAACATTTAACACTAGAACTACCGAGGCAGTCATTTTGAGTGTTTTCCATTTTATTAATTTAATAACTTTGCTAAAATGAAGCTCTAGTGTGGTAATATAACACTGACTCTTCCTAAATGTGTCTATATTTCTTTTTTAACATTGTTATTTTATTACAAAACACAAAAGAGTGATTTCTGTCTTGAACTACCATACTTTTCCCCGTGAGTTTGAATCTGCATGTGTCTATTGCCTAGTCTTTGTTGCATGTCTCTTTTTCTGATAGCAGAAGCAGAACTTTACTTCAGATGAATCTTTTAAAGCAGCTGTTGAAACTCCTTTTGTGGTCCCGCTGTAGGAGGTGTCAGAGGTCATAGGTCAGCAGAAAAGCCTGATGAAGAACATTTTGGACGACACTGAACTGAACCGGCTGCGGCTGGAGGGAGGAACATTTCTGGCCCGGCTCAGGAAAGAGGAGATGTGTGAAAACCACAACTACAGGTGCTCACTTAGACATTTTTAATGCTGTATCAGCCTTTCAAGATCAGTTTAATGCATGCTTGCTATTTTTAATTAGTACTGTTATTTTATTTAATAGCAATACAAAAATATAAAACATAAAATATAGAAACAAATTATAAACAATAAAATAACTCACTCTCACTCACTTTCCTTTATTAGTGGTCGCCACAATTATAAATGCCAGTTTTTGGAAGAGTTTTAAATTAAATTAAATTAAATTAAATTAAATTAAATTAAATTAAATTAAATTAAATTAAATTAAATTAAATTAAATTAAATTAAATTAAATTAAATTAAATTAAATTAAATTAAATTAAATTAAGTTTACATTTTATCCCAGTTAAAATTAAATGTAATTATTTAAAAACAATGAAATTAAATTAAGTTTAATTTAAATAAATAAGTTTTCATTTAAATAAAATAAGTTGAATTAAATTATATCAATTTAAACTAAATTACTTAAAAACTAAATTAAATTAAATAAATTTAAAATTGAATTATTTAAATTTTATTTAAATTTAATTAAATAAAAACTACATTTAATATTTTTATTTAAAATTTAATAAAAATAAATTATATTAAATAAATAAGGTTATATTTTATTCAAGTTAAAATTTTAATAAATTAATTAAAAACTAAATTAAATTAAGTTAAATTGAATTTAAAATGTAATAACAATAAATTGAAACAAATAAATAAGTTTAAATTTTAACCAAGTTAAAATTAAATTAAATTAAATTAAATTAAATTAAATTAAATTAAATTAAATTAAATTAAATTAAATTAAATTAAATTAAATTAAATTAAATTAAATTAAGATGTTTGGAATAAAAAGGAGTACAAAATTTTAAGTTAGAAAAGCTTTTTTGCAGTGTACATTCTTAATGTAAATATTAGGTGTAAGTAAGAGATTAAGTACAGTAAGGACTTTCATGATGGGGGTGTGAATTAAAATAATAGTGCTCGATTTAACATGTAAAAAGTCATTAAAAGCCATTGCTGTTCATGAAAGAGTGAAACAATAAAGGTTAAAGCACTGAT